GAGCTCTCTAGCTGGCTTCTATCAAAAGTTATTAAAAAAACAACGGAGTCCATTCTATTTTGGTACAGACAGTAGTTCAGTTTAATTTGCTCAATTAGTCTGAATAGACTAGAGAATTCTTTGTACGATTCGTCTGCGTTACTTATTAATCTATTTTTATTCTACGGATTATATAACTCTTTGTTTCAAACTATAGTACAAACACTAAAGGCAGAAAAAGCATTCTACATCAAAAGCTAACTGGAAAGCTACGACAATTTTGTGCTAAGGGAACCTTTTTCGCACCATTTCTATAGGGGTTAATATGTTGTTCATGCTTAAATAATAACCAGTTGAATAGCACTTTTAAAGACTGTTAGTTATTGTCTAGATGCCGTATGTTTCTTCAGCTATCATTGGATAATAGTATTTAATCTTCTCGATCGGTGCGCCGTAAACGTAGCTTACGCTGAAAGTCCGCTTAATACTGCGGCTAAACAACGCAGCGCCATACCGCTACCCAAGAATATGAGATTTCTTCTTCCGCTTATTTCCCGGAAAAAAAACAACGACCAGAGAGAGGTGACAATGCCCGGAAGAACACTAACGATGGGATAGGCCACCGCTTGTTTTAAAGCTGATATGGCAACAATAAAACCAATATTTGCTATTGCCCACATTGTACCGGATACCATTGCTGGTAAACAAATGGACGGATTGATACTTGGTTTGTTTCGCTTTAATCCCGAATAAACAATAAAGTAAAATGTAGATGATAAGAGTATTCCAGAATATTGAGAATTTACATAATATAAACCATTTGATGCTGGATTTTCGCCATTTCGTTGGAAATCTTCTGGATGATCTCTTATATATGAATCGGGTATAAACATTATACCGTAAAAAACACCGGCTAATGCTGCTAATATATAACCAAGAATTTTCTGCTGTAGTCGACTTAAACGATTCAAAAATGGAAAATCCTCATCTCTTGGATATTCCACCACTGTCATGACCATATTATTTCCTTCTGACAATTTATCAGCTGTTTTGTCATCTTCTTTTATCGAAAAGCTTGGAGAGCGGCGTGGAGTATTTTCAGAGTTAATAAATAGAAAAAATACGGCACTCAATGCAGCAAACACAACGGAAATATAGTTCATCGCCAGTTTCGGAGTACTGGTCGGTACTTGTGCCTTAAGACCGAGAACGCCAAAGCGTCCTCCTGCCCATCCGACAATTAAACTAGTTGTACCCCAAATGAGCAATCCAACGGACAAACCACACGTTTTGATACAAAATACCGTTGCAAGATTTCCAGTTGTCCATAGAATTCCTTTAAGAAACAAAAATGATGCTAATATCGGCTATTAAAAGCAGAAACATCGACGTTCACGTTCACGTTCACTTACCTCCAACGAGAACAAGTGGATAAAATCTTTTATTAGCCACAATTAAATCGGTAATGAGACCAATAATCCATGTAGCAACACAAAAACAAAACTGAAAGAAGAAACCATCCCCAGCTGAAAACTGTTTCACCGGTACAAAATTGCTACCGAAAAATAGTGATGCCACAAGACATCCGACAAATCCTGTCCACACTGGTAAAGACGTATCACTTGTAGGAAATGTTGAATTTTGTGTCGCAAACGTTGATGATTCTGATATTGTTGTAAACGGATTTACAAATAGAGTAACTGTAGTGTTAGACATCTTAATCTAATCTAAAAATTGAGTAGGAAAGACGTTTTAGAGAAGAGCAAAGTTTATAGCAATTTAACTAGCTAGTGTTAGTATTTTCGGCTACATGGCCATAGTTGTTACAAAACTAGCACACAAATGTCCGTTTGAATTTTGATTGTTGGACAAAAACTTACAAAAATTTTCTTGTAAATTTAGAATACCGCTGCTTCTTAGAAAAGTAATAAAAATGACCCCGGTGTAAAACCGTTTTAAAGAAGGAAGAATACTCTGCTTTTTGGCTACCATGACCAGCGTAGCGTGCTGACAGTTTTAATAGTTGTACATTTTCCCTAAAATTCACAGCCTTCCGAAATAGCCTCCCATATCGTTACTAGTCATTAACTGCAGCTCTGCTTAGAAGACTAGCCTGGCGCAGTTCTTTGAGCTCCCCATGGATAGTTACTAACCACGTATCAGCTTTATGGAAAGCCACAAAGATTACATGAAGGAACTGTATTGTATGTCACGATGCAGTGAGTATGTTATCGAACGGGTAATCCGAGGCACTGAGACATAATTAACTTGCTCAAAGTTATGGCATAGTTTGTCGCTGATGAGAAACGAACACAGTATCTTTGAAGTACGTGAGGAATAGAACTATCAAGCAAGCCATGCTTTTTAGTTATATCAAGGTCTTTTTGTTTTTCCCATTGTTTATGTAACAGTGCAAACTAGATTAAGACTACATTTTACTCCTTTATAGTCAAATCTCGCTGAGAACAAATACACTTTGCGGTTGACCTTGCTAGAAAAAACATATGAGCAATATTATTCTCTTTCGGTATACTCTGATATTTCAGTTTTATTAATTATTACACGACGATTTACCTTGTTGATTTTCTAAATTCTTTAGGATTAATATGATTATAAGGTTAGACAGTCTTGAAAGCATGCTTGAGAAGACAGAAAAACTTACATATTATTTGTTTAAACATGTACAATTAAAAGTGCAAATGAAATCAAATGTATACAAATATTTTATAAAACTTTTGTATTTCTGGATCTAGGATGATGGTAAATCTCAAGCAAAACGACCCAATTTTTGGGGTTATTTATCTAGATTCAGCTCCGCGTGTATCTAGATGCACGTGGTACTGAATCTAGATAAATAACCCAAAAAATTGGGTCGTTTTTGCTTGGGATCTCATTATTGTTCTGCATTCAACAGCACTAAATCTTCTTTTTTGGAAGATATATATTTTAAGAAATCTATTAATCCTTAACAAATATTTTTGCATAATCCTCTCTAAATAGCACACTAGAACGCATCACACTTTGGAGATACCCTTATATATTAAAACATCTCATTAATAATGCGTGGTATGCTGTTTGACGTATTATTTCGTTGAATGGACATATACAATTACATACTTTTGCCTTGGAGTCGAAAATTGGATTAAATCAGAAAAGGTCGTACTGAGTTCTTATCCAATTTTTAAGTTTTTTTAATCTGCAGAGATACCTTTAACGCAAGAATTAGTGTTTATGTTAGAATTCTTCGAGTTCAACAGGTTGATATAGTTGGCTAGATACGTTTCTCTTTTTTTCTAAACTAGCGTAAAAAATATTTATTTTCTTCAAATACTATAACTAAAATGTACATGTCAAACACAAAATAATCAGATCATTCAAAGCTAACTTTTTTATTGTTTTGGTTTAGACAAAACGATTAAGACAGATGCTGTAATAGACAGACACATTCCAAGAAATACGAATAAATAGTTTCGCATACCAAATATTTCTTTAAAATAAAATATTGACCATAGAGTTGCTACACTGCCAACCCCAATAACAACGAGAGGAAATGTAATTGCTTGACTAAGTATGGAGTTTGATATGAGAAAAGCAGCTTGAGCAATACCCCACAAAATACCTGAGACAAGTGCAGGACAAATGCTTTCAGCATATATCTGCGGCCTATTACGTTTTACAATCGTATAAACAAAGAAAAAAACAGATGACGTCAACAGTATACCAGAATACATTGAAAATGCATAATGAAGTCCGTTTTTTGATGCATTTGGATATTTTTCAGGATGATCTTGTATGTAGGTGCTGGGTGTGAAAATTAAACCAAATAGTGAACCACATATGATTGCTAATATATAGGCAATAAGACGTATTTTTAAAGTTGGAGGAGGAGTTGGATTGACATTAATAACTTCTACGACTGGAGCTTCGGTCGACCTTACCGCATTGATATTTACTTGTGTTTCCAGATCTGATGGAGTGTCATGTACAATATTTTCATGTGACAGCAGCGGCCTTCTTTCTGGTACGACTAGTGCATCTGTTTTTATCGCTCGTATATTAATAAACATCAAAGCACTCAAACATCCACATGCTACCCCGAAGTAATTCATTATAGGGTGTTCTACTTTTTCAGAAATTAGTCCGAACCAGCCAAAGTGACCAGAAGCCCAGCCTAAAAAGAAGAAAGAAAACTAATTATATCTGATTATGTTATGTTTTTTAAATGTGTAGCATACCTAAGAGCATGTTGGTGGTTGACCAAAGTAGCAATGAAGCCCCGAGACCATTAATATTAATTACCAGAAGGCATAAAAGGTTTCCCGTTGTCCATAATACTCCACCAATCATAACGAATGGATAGAAAGGAGGATTATTTACAAATAAATTAATAATTATACCTGTGCACCATATCCCAATGCACATAAAAAATTGAAAGGCTAAACCATCTCCAACTGGAAATTTATTAGCTGGAACCAAATTACTTCCGAATAAAAGGACTGCAGCAATAACAGCAATATATCCAAGGTATAAAGGCGTATGAACAGGCAAGTATGGAGTTGTTGTTGTTATATTGGTAATAGCTATTTGAAGCAAGTCCATTTATGTGTCTAATTTCAAAATATAACTACAAAGATTTTAAAATAAAAATCCAGCAAGAGAAAATCATGATACATCATACAAAAAGGTTAGCTAGTTTTCTTAATTTTTTATATTTTGAATATTGTTAGCTGTCACAATCACGTGTAGAAAGTGAGGCTAATATTTCTTTCTGAATTTCCTCTTTTGTTTCTCAACATCAACGATGTGTGATCAACTTTTTTTATCGTTCTTATCGTTCTGAGTTACTTTACCCTTTTATGCATCTATACTATTCGTCGATGTTGTATTTTTTTCTTTCGTCCACTTTTCTTTATGCTCTTGCTCTGTTACCTATGGTCTGATTAATTTTTTATTAGTTCAATAAAGTACTACGTACGGGACTGTCGCGATCGTGAGATTTTGGGACAAGGATCATCTCACCGCTGATTACGATATCTCTATTCCAAAGTCAAAGACGAATAAATTTTTTGTATCCGATTAGCTTTGAAAGTGACAAGCGCTATTGTTCGGCAGAAAGTGAGTTTTTTTTTCGGAGTTTTTTCCTTAATCGAAAAGCCTGAGAATATACCTACCGTATTTTTATCCTTACTCATTAAGGGCTAAGGAATTTTTCTTTTAACCGACAGAAAACTTGAAAAATCAAAAGTGGATTTTATTTAACTTTATGTTAGAAAATGCAGAGCTTCAAGAGTTTAAACTTTTGTGCAATGAAAGATTCGTATCGTAAATAGACAAAGAAAATAAGAAATTATCGTTCAATAAAAACCTCAAAAACGGTTTATGCAGAAGATTCTAATTTTAGAATGATTCCAGTTGGAGGAAACTCAACTGAAGCGACTATCGCAAAAGAAAAAGCACAGTCTAAAATAAATGCGCATCAAGCACAACTTCATTTTGAACCTGGTGTAACTGATACACCTCTTCGTAAACCGACACTTACTGCCACACCTGAACAAGTTGAGTTCTTTAAAACAAATGGATTTTTGTTTATTGATGCTTTAACAGACAAAGAAGAAATTGAATCAATTCAAAAACAATATGATCAAGTAAAAATATCGATATACATCTATTTGTTGAATCGTCACTTTTATCTTTTTCATCTCATCCATCTTCTATAGTGGTTCAAAAACAAATTAGGACGTGAACATGGAAATTTTTTTGATTTGCTGAGCGAAGATGATGATAAAGAAGAGCCATTGGTACCTCAGTTGCTCTGGCCATCCATTTACGGGCAAGAAACAGGATTTAATTTGTATAATACGCAAATGTATGCTAATGCCTATGCAATAAGTACTGCACTCTTGGGTGAAAATACTGCTTTTAAGGGGGTATATAAGGATGGAAATTTTTTCCTTGTTTTTACTAAAGTGTACTAGCTTCGTTTAGGATCATGCCATTATGAAACCTGCCTCGTCAAAATCTGTGGCGACTCCTTGGCATCAAGACGAATCTTACTGGGATCCAAATTATTCGTATGAAGCGCTTGGTGTTTGGATTGCATTACAACCCGTCACGCTTGAAAGTGGGTGCATGCAATTCATACCAAAATCCCATTTATCATCCGTTTTGTGCCATCATACAAAAGGAAATAATCCCAAAATACATGGGTTGGAAGTAGATCATCCTGAACAATGGGGTACTCAATATTCTGTAGCTTGTCCTTTGCCGGCTGGCGGGGCTACATTTCATCATTGTCGCACTTTACATTATACGGGTGCAAACAAAAGTAAATATCCTCGTCGAGCTTATACCATGTCGTTTCAACGTGAATCAACTAAACTTGAACAGCCAAGGGCAAACGACTGGAATGAAACGAAACAAACAGAACGAGAAAAACGTGCAAAAGACAGTGGATGGTCTATTAGAGCACCTTAAACAAAGTTGTTAGAACGTATTTAAGAAAGTTTAACAGATACATAATATATAAATTATACATTGTTGCTATTGGAAAAATATTTTGTAATGCGCTGCGAAGTATACCACATTCTAGTAATAAACTGTGTTTTTACTTTCTAGGCTACAAAACTGTCATTTGCTGTAACGATTTTCTCGTAAACTAGAATGGCTACTGTCAAATTTTAAACAGAACCAGTGAGCTGTGAGATCGAATTAGTAAATGTCCTCTTTTGAGACTTTGTGACTAATCCAGTCATTAACTAGAAGGCTCGAAAGAAGGTGTTTTGTATGTTTGAGTCTTTTAGTTTTTTCAAAAAAACGGATAATTAATCTAAGTCATACTGGCATTTTTAAAGCAGAATGTGCGCATATCGTGTGATTCACTTTATGACCATGCTCTATATGTATTCGACGAATAGCTAATGCACCTAGACACCTTACTGTGTTATAGATAATTAACTGTTAATTAGTGTGTATGATAAAATCTCTAGGTTATGATAAAGGTTATAGCATAGTTGCAAGAGAGAACACAATTAATGGTAGAACATCTGTTTAACAAGGAAATTAATCAATTTCGATTTTCACTCTCTCACCGGTGTGTATTCAAGTCAAGATAAAGAATTCAAGCTCTCTACTTTTTCCGAAATTCTCTAAAATTAACACAAATACTCTTTCTTCTTCCATTCTACCAGGAATAGTTCGCCAAGTTAGAACTATTCTTAGAGATAACTCACCGAGTTCGACTTATTTCGCCCAAGTCAGGTATCTCACTAAGTCGGAGGTACACAGAGAAAGTCACTATGGAAGTTTGGCTAGAACAACTGGGCTTTCTCCGATAAGTCGAGGGATCCACTGTGACAGTTTGCTGTTAAGCAACCGGGTTTCTCGCAACTCAGAAAAGGTAACCTCGGTGTGCAAAAGTTCTACGTTTGCTCATAAAAGAAGGCGAAAATTGAAGACGTTTTCAATAACACAAATAAACGTGAAAATTTTGAAATATGACAAAAAAGAAATCACTTGCAACTAAAGCTAGACAAAGACGTGTGGCTGTAATTCAACAAAGTGTTGCTTTACATAAAGCTGCGCCTGTGAAAATTTTAATGTTGATTATGCATGCCGTGTGCATTTTTCTGAATGAATAACTCTTTTACGTGACTGATCTACATTTTATCCAGTTCCTTCCTTCGAACAATACTATACATTGTTGTTGTCTATAATTTAACAAAACATACTGAGTTCTTCGTTGCCGTAATCCTTCATTCTCTTAATCCTGCTTCGCATCGCATTCGCAACTCTCGCTAGCGTGATTGTCGTCTAGTTTCTACATGAGATCAGATTACTGGATGAAAAAAACGAGCGATGTCTGTACGGTTTTTTCAATTATAAGAATTTGTTTACAAACATGTATAACAGGTGATTTCTACGGTTTTTTAGATATTAAAATTTTCCTTTCTCTCTCGTAAAATATGTGATGAGACTATAACTTAGTCGTGTAACTCTGTTGCATACAACATTCGTGGCAAAGACAATCTAATAACTCTTCTCTTCATAAATCTTTTGCCGTTGCTATGAAGCCATATGGCAGCAAGTACGAAACAACACTGTAAAAAAACATGGTACAGATTCCAAATGATGATAGTGAGTCATCATCCAACACTTCAACACACAAATAATGTGGCACATGACTTAGTCATTACCTCTCTGCTAATAATATGTAATAATATTTGCCACTCAGATAATTAGTACTGTAGAAATCTCTGTTGTAGATGTTGGTAAACAAATAAATGCTTGTGGTTTATTACAGAAGTCGTGCATGAAGATGCAAAAATTTAATATTCTTTCTGTAGAAATAACTCATAGAGGACAGAATTATGCAAAAAAAAAAGTTCTCGTTCATACATTTCAACTTTGACTTTGTTTAAAATATATTTTTATTATTACTCAACAAATTTTTGGCTAAATTTTGATAAAGAGTATATCACTAATAATGAACAGACATATTTTCTTGCTTACACGTTAAAAAACGACAAAATGTGTTTCTAATTCGGAAAATAGGTCGCTTTTAATCTCAGAAAAAATGAGCTTGATGTTCTAACAATATAATACACTGTTAAAATAAGGGATTTGATTAATTATATAGCAAAAAGAATTTGCCCTAAAGCAGTTAGATTGGTGTGTCCATTGGGAGAGCTACCAATCTAAAACGTAGTTTAATTTTTAACCTAAAAAATTTTTCCGAACTCAAAGTCTTTTTTTACCATACAAATTGGCATAATGTCACTCAGATTAGTGAATACAGTCTAAACAATAAAATGGAATATTTTGATAGATTAATTTATAAAAATCATATATTTGGTAGCACCGGGTTTATTTGAATTAAATGCTTGAACAAAGTAAAGTTAGGCAACTGATACCCTTGATGGCCATGTACTCTCTGGTTGTTCCAATTGTAATATAATATTGTCACTGTCTTCATATTCGCTACGCCAGTTACGTAAAAATCTGAAGAAAAAATCGAAAAATTTGATGAACAGAAACTTGATGACGATTCATATTAAAAATGACTATAATAGTTCACAGTTTTTGTTTGCATACGTGACTAGTTAATAGCAATATTCTATCTAGCTATTTATAAAACTATAAACTGTAATGATGTCACTAAGGTAAATAAGCCACTAATGTTATATATTTTTCACAAGCACTACACACTTACAGACGCAAACACAAAGTAAAATCTTTTCTATTTCAACACCATTAGTTTCTTCCTGGTGTTAACAGTAGAGAGATTTTATCGTAGAATTATTAATTAGCATGCAAATAACGTTATCCAAAACGAAAATAAGTTTATTATTGCAAGGATACCTGATATTTCTACAGTTATACCAATTCCATGGTAATAACCTAATAAAATGTCATTAGAACACTAGATTACCAAACTTTGAAGAGAATTTTACTTAAAACCGCGAACGCGCCTGTTGTTTAGACAAAACGATACTCGCCGACGCTGATGTTTGTGGAAACTCACATCATTGTACTCGAAATACTATAGCAATCTCTGTTAGAAAAATGATTGAAAGTTGTTGCAGAACTTACCGGCTATAAGGGGACTGTCGCTTCTTATAGATTACAAAACCCAAGGCTAATATAACTGCCAGACCAAACAAAACACCAAAAAACGTCCACCAGCCTCTCCCAGCAACTACAAAATAGGAAAAATTCTTTCGCCAATCAAGTAAACGTTGTTAAATACACCGTATTTATATTACCAGACTTATTGTTGGTTGTATCTGTTGGTGCGCGTCTACTAGTCGATGCGGTATTCGTAGATGTACTAGTCGATGTGGTAGCCGTAGATATACTAGTCGATGTGGTAGCCGTAGATATACTAGTCGATATGGTAGTCGTAGATATACTAGTAAAAAAAACTGATGAACTACTGTTGGTTGTGTAAATTGATGAAGTTGTTGTTGAATTTTGAAAAGGGTTTTCTGTTGTTGATAGCACGGTCATGGTATCATTAGTCAAATTTAACGACGTGGGGTTGGTTACTGCTGTACTGGAATAATCCGCCGGTAAAGTTAATGCAGATTGATTACTTGGATTAGTCGTGTTATTGAAATTTTGTGCCGATGTTCGATAACAGAGAAACAAAAATGCTAGAATAAAAATAATTGAAAATTAAAATTAATAATTTCATTCAGTCTAATGGTAAAAGATGTTACATTTTCATGACGCATCCTTCGTTGATAAAAACTAAATATTTTATCGAAAACATGATATCCCTCGTCAGCTTTTCTGCAGCCGTTTACTCTATTTAGCACAGTACATAAAAATCACCAAAAAAAATCTATGGTTCCGTATGTAATTTCGGGACCTTTTTACTTACATATCAGCACAGGAAAATGATAATAATAATTAATTGGGAGTATCATAGCTGCTATCTAAATTGATCGATGTACTTGCGAGAATCACATTTTGTTTTTAATGAATAGTGATTCTAAGATAGATCTAAAATAATAAGGAATACAATTTGGTATTTTGCGTTGCAAACAGCAACAAGTTTTAAAGTTTGTTGATCACATCTAAAAAATTGCAAAAAACTTACCCTTTTTCAGAAGAAAACATTTGTTTTCGGGTTTTCTATGACTTCTGAGTAGTATCTTAATCTAATAGCAGAAAGAAAAATATTGAAATTAGATGAATATTCTATTGAATATCGTTAAACAAACAAGATATAGTCAAACACAACTCATTGAGAATCATTACGAACATCGTATAAAGAAGAAATTTATCTTAGCGTTAAATCCATATTTTAAGACGTTATATGTTACAGAATTATATATTCTTATTATTTTATTTCCTACCCCATGACTTTTCCAAACATCCATGACCTTCGTTCGATGAGAGACACGCTACATAGATATAATCAGTCATGATAAAAGCAAAAGATAACCCTGACAAACGTACATTTTGTATATCGCGAAAGTTATTGTAATAAAAGCTTACCAATATCGTATACTCTCTTCATCAAAGTTTCTGATACTTTGAATCACATGAACACTTTTCGAAGTTGACTAAATAACATATTAAACACTAAAAACATGCATATTTCCTCTTCTTACTAAAACTTTTTGTCATTCATACTTATTTTCTCTCTCTCTCTCTCTAGTAGAATCAGTGTTCAAGGCTGTAAATAAATAGAAAGTAATCTGAATGTCAGCAATACTACGATAAAACGAGTATATAGGTAAATAGTATAATCAGACTAACACAGAATTTCCACTCATAATCAGACAGAATGAAAGAATGAAAGAATGAAAGTAAAGTGCTGATTGTATTTATATACTTAACAAAATAAAATTTAAAATGACTAAATGATCGATAATTACAAATAGAATAACATTGCAGTACTAACAAGAATAACAAACCATGTCTTAAAATATTTAATTCAAATGTCATGTCATTAAGGAGTATTCAAGGAAAGTTTTAAATGAATATAAAATAGTTTATATTGGCTTTTTTCTGTATGTGACAACAACTTACAAAAATGGAAAAAAAAGAAAACCTTCGTTGCCTAATTCTTTCATTTTATATGAGCATAATAATTAGTCATTTTTAATGGAAGAAATATCAATTTTATCTTCGACGTTTTTTTTTCTTTCTTTCTTTCTATTCATAAATTTCTTTTTTTTGTACAATCAAAAAATGGGAGCAGTTAACCGTATTATGAATGCAGCAACACATTGTCAACAATGAGAATGACGAAAAAATATTCATGCAGTATAGAAAAAAAGAAAAAAAACGTTTTACCGTTTTTAGAGTAGACAGAAATGAGAAAAAAAAATAACATCAAGTCATGTTTTATTGAACACGTAGAACAAAAAAAGAAAAACGGAAATATACGTAATAAATCAAAATTTTTCAGAAGATCAACAACCTGACAGACACGATAGTATCATCTGATGTAAAATGATGGTTCATAGTTTCTAATTTCTATTCAAAAATATCACTCTTAAATATAAGAAAAAAAAAATATCTTCTGAAGATTAAAGTACAATTCATTTATTTGTTATGAAACAATATTAGTAAATTTTATTCTCTATCAAAGATATTTTCTATTGATGTAAAGTTTTCTTTAAATATAATTTAAGACGTAGTACCTTGCTGCACTAGTGTGATTAGCCGCTGAATATCATTAAAAGTCAACTGTTAACTTTTAAAAACAATGGTTTAAATTATAACTGAAAATTTTCTTTTTTTCCGTCAAATATTTTCATCTTGCTACAATGGCCATCATTATTAACGAATACCTTATGCAATAGTACCAATAAATACGAACACTGTACTATAATAGACCGTTTATACTCTATCTAGTAAAAATTTACATGCCGATGTAAATTACATACAAGGAAACTATTACAATTCCTGCCGTTCTATCTTCTTCTTAGCCGAACGACATAGAAAAACTATATGCAGAAAAATAGAAAGAACGAACAAATTCTAGAAAAAAAATATCATATGATAATCGTTGGATGTAGAGGAACGGTCGTACATTTTCTGACAGCTAATTCATCTTTTCTCTACTCTACTTTTATTCTAAGTATTTGATCATTACTATTTTTTTCTAACACATATAATTTATTTATTAAATCCTAATTATTAGCATAGTGAAATATGCAAGTTTGAAGCTTTAACGTGATAAACGTTTTACTGTGACAAATTATCACAGATTTGATCAGGTTTAGAAAAAGAGAAATTTTCATTTGTTTACATCAATTAAAATAAAGAGAATGTTTGAAAACGACAACATATACACAAAATCAGTAAGTATTGACAAAGTTGTTGATGTTAGATTTAACTTGAATCAACATTTAGAAATCTAATAACATTCTAACACAATATTGTTAATTTAACTAATTGTATTCAAACAAAAGGTGAAAATTATAAATTTTTCATACGTTAGTCTGTTTGCTTCTTTCAGGACCTTAGAAATGAGATGAGCAATAATACTTCTCCGTTAGTGGACGATTCAGCGAATAACCGTCCAATTGTTAAATCAAAAAATGTATCAAGAAAGGTATGTTTTAGGCCGATTTGTATTAGATTATAACAGTATGTTTGGTTTACTTTTTAGAAATTGACGATTATTGTTACTGTTGCTGTTGTCATTGTAACATTGATACTTGTCGTACTCATACCAGTGCTTGGTCTCAAAAAAAGAGGATAAACTATATAGACCTAAAGTCTTAACGTTTGTAACATTTGTCTTAAATTTGTATCATATTTTCTATAAAATCTAATTTAATAGTCAAGTAATTTTTCTAGCAATGCATGATAGATAATGGTATAATAACCCATATTTTCTACTTTTACAGAATTTTAAAAAGAACATAGAATGATAAATAAGAAAGACGTAGAATCAAGTTTAGTTTTGAACTATTATAACCTACCATGTGCAAGAAACAGCTAAAAAGCCGGGCATATTTATTAGTAATTCAATAAATTAAAGAGCATAAAAAAAAATAAACAGCAATAATAATTATACAAAAATAGAAAAATAGTTTATTTCAATATCAAGCACACTTTCTCCATGAATACAAGACTTTGCCATAGCCTAATTGTGAATCCCAATTTCATAAGCAAAAATATGTAAATAAAGTGAACCAACAGACAAAATACTTGACGATTCAGTTTATGAGAAATGCAAAATCGTTAACATGTGAAAGACGATATATATCTGGTGAATTTTACTAGTCATTATTTATAACGATACAAGTTCTAATAGATCTTTTTCGGTATATAAATTATTTATTGCAGAATAAACATTACTAATAATTGGAAATGTTTTATCAACTGTTCCAGCTTCTTTTTCACCTTTCAATAACTGTTGTTTCAATTGTTGTTGCTTCGGTAGAGTATTTGTGGCTGCCCATACTGCCCACTGAACGGCTTTACTGTGTCTTTTATATAAAGATTCTTTATATGTTTCATATGCAATGGTTTTTGTTGACTTGGTTGTTTCCGATAAAAACGATCGTTGGAGAAATTTATAAGTGAATTCCAATGCTCTTAATAGACGTAATAATGCTATAGTGCCATCGTATGAACTAATACTCGTTTCGTATTTTAACATTGTTTGTACACTTTTATAATAATCATATTTTTCACTCTTGCATAAATTTTCAATTAATACAAATTTATCGACTAAATCACGTGACACAAATGAAAACACAATATTTAAATGATCAAAAAACCTAAAATAGAGTGAAACAGAAGATTATTAACGGGTGTCGTTCTAAAAATTATTATTTTTGGTTCAAAATTCCGTGACTAGGTGTCTCGATGTAGATTTATTTTGGATTACAAAATGAAAGAAACCAAGGACATACGAGAGAAACGCATTAGAAAGTTTTCTCTTCTGAGACGGACACATACGTTTTTATTAGCAAAAGTACCTATTCGTCTTAATAATGCTAAGGGTCATTCAGACTGTGTTAAGAAACGAAAGAAGAACTGTTATGGACAAATTAGTTTTTAGTCAATTTTTTGAACATCTCCATCAAGGAGATTTTGGCAGAGTGATATTTTTATTCCTCATAAACTTAGTTAAAATTTCAAAAATATTTCTCAGTACGTCTATACTCTCACAGTCGAAATCGCTTAGAGTTTATTCCAGATCTGTGAGAGTAATTCCAGTACACTCTATAATTCTTACTGGCGTATGATTTTCCTTTATGTATTTTTCAATTAATGAAAAACTGAAGAGAAAAAACAAAATGCCAACGAAACTTATTATCTACCTGGTAGTCTGTGTACTAGTAGAAAATAGTTTGTCGTACATTTTTGTTGAATTAGAGTTTTAGAGAAATTCAGCGTAAAATTAAATTTTGGAATATGTTTGTTACCTTTATCAAGATACGGAATACTCAAAACTATAGAGAGCATAATTTTCAGATATTTCAGTAGCAAGAATCCAAAAACGAAAAACAGCATCGCCAATAAAATCTCATTTTGTCTAAATTTCTTTAAAACTTTTATCCAGTCAACTATGTTTCTTCGACTACTTCGACAAAAATGCATAATATAAGAGTCCTTTTTTCCGCTGGTATACAGACTATAGCTTAGACTAACCTATCGAAACATACTTGATTAATTCGCGAAATGCAGCAATAAATTCAGGTAACAAAACCGTGCCATCTTCTCTCAAAACAACTTGCCATGTGTTGTAAACTTTGTCCAGACTATAGTTATTGTCTTCTGTTGACGCCATTCACTAAAAGTAATATAATTTCAAAAGTGTATGAAAATATAAACATTGGTTACACAAACGTATGCTACGGTTTCAGATGATCTAGAAAATGTTTCATAAAAATTCTTAAGTGCTCGACTTAACTAAGTTTAGACTTAAGTCACACTTCAGCGTATAAAATTAACACGTAAGTGTACAAAACGAAAACTTAGTCTAGAGTTAAGTCGAGCACTTAAGAATTTTTATGAAACATCCTTTTGTACAAAGTATAACTATCCGAAACTTCGACTTGACTTCACGAAAGAATAATCACCTAAGAAAAATTGCGTATAAATTTTGATCTTTCACGGCTGTCCAGGAGCGTGTCTCGGGTGCCGTTCACACAACTATGCTACTCTTTCACGGTTATATTGCCTTGGAAGTGATCGTCCAGAAACGGCCACCAATAACATAACAGATAACTTGGATACGATTTGGAGGCTTGTAATCAATTCGAAAATGCACAAAATGGCGAAAGAGTCACATTACTAATTAAGGTCAAACCAAGGCATCCATACATTTCTATCCATGAACGCTACAATCGCCGTTACACAATTTCAAAATTTCGCGTTGATAGTAGAGATTTATTGATACCCTGTGACCGTTAATCAAGACGATACTAAGCGAATCAAAATTGGGTTTTAGTGATAATTAAATCAAATTTTTGTAAAAATCACTCTTTACTGAGAATTAGAGATAAAAAGAGATTGAAAAAAACATTTGATCGGCGAAACACGCTCTCTGTGAGGTTGACCAGCCAACTATCGAAACTGTCACTGTCAGAGACGGCCTTATTAACATCTAATCGTAGTTACATTGTTGAGTCATGAATGTACGGAGAAACGCGAACTTTCACTGGTTTCTTTTGACTTTATAAAACTAATCAACATAGTTTTTTTCTGTTAACTTTTTCTTTGGTTGTTATGTTAAGCTCTTAGTCTTTGCTTTTCACGTATCGTAACCAGAGACCGTCGCAGGACAACTTTTTTCGCCCTGTCCTGCCGCCCTGCCCTGTCTGACTGAGCAGGGCTTGAACTTGAACTTGAAATTTTATTTTATGCCCAAGAAAACATCTCGTAGCAAAGGAAAGCACAAAAAAACCAAAGGCTTGTAAATGCAGTGCCATCACACAGAAAAGATAGGAACCGCGAGAAGACAGTATAAGGCGCTCCGCAGTGCAAAAGAAAGTTTTTCTCCTTAACCTAGAAAGACGTTATCTTCAAGAAATTCATCACAAATACTGGATGTGTTTCTCGTGCGTAACAGAATTTTCTTTTTATGAATTATCAGTTTTAGAAAAGTTGGCTGTCATTTTTATTTTCACATATATAATACAGAGAGATCTCAAAATTTTGCTTAAAAAGAAGCTTGAAAATCTCAAAAATCAATCTCTCGCAGGGCAAATCAAGGAATTTTTTGTTGCTCCGCCCTCTTGCAGAGCAGGGCAAGAAAGATATATCGCCCTGTCCTGCGACGGTCTCTGATCGTAACCTACTTTTTTTCGCCACGTCAGTGTCATCTCAGCAGCACAAAATTTGGGTTGTTTCCCGCTAGCCGTCAGGAGCACTTTCTACGTCTTTTCACGTAGCAAGTGGCTGCTGTCGGCTAACGGAAAACTTTTTCCTTTTGTACTTAAAACTTAAAAAATTTCAAAAGTTGCATGAGAACAAGAAAAAGACCATCTTAATTGGTCTTAAAACGTTGTATTAATTCTTTTCTCAAAAAAAGAAACATGTTAAAATTACAGAAGCAGAGGTCGCGGCAGTACATTTAGACGGTATTATTTTGCTTTATTCGAAAAAAGAAAATACTTTTGTTCAATCTTGATTACATATGCGCCGCCGCTTTAGTATCTACGCTAATAATTTTTTCCCAAAATACTCATTCGTTATAGAAGATTTCTTTTATTGCTACACGTCATTGATAGTTCAAACTTTGCTCATAAATTCTTTTATATTTATTTGACTAGAAGTTTATGCACCTTTTTACCCAAACCAATATATAGATTTTTGAGAATTCGACAGTTTTTCACGTAATTTGAACTTTTTTCTGCTTCCAAACGGTTTTGTCCATAAAGCCATTAATATATTTGAAATCAGCATTAACTTTATGTAATAGATTATCAGTAGTAATACTAGAGACAAAAAGGATAGTTTATTAAGAAGAAATTGTTATGTCCATCGGACAAGTTAAAAATGCCCAATGAGACCGGTGGACATGAGATGACGTGTCACTAATATGTGTTGAGAAATCCATCCAGTTCAACCTCAGATCTCCGTCTAGCTCACACCGATCAATGTCAAATTTGACATCGATACGAGATGTTTCGATATATATCAATATGAAAAAAGGGTCACTGAAATTTAACAATGACTACCCTATAAAAAAAAGTCCAGTGCGGCACTACCATTGCGCACCGGTGCGCATGGCATGCCATCGGTCACTGGCACTGGCTGGCACCTGTGCCGAACCAGTGCCGATATATTTCTGCCGAAAGTGCCGCACTGGTAAAAATCAGTGCCGCGTGGTTGCCTCACAATCGATGTCAAATTTGACATTGATCGGTATGAGCTAGACGGAGATCTGAAGAAATGCCTTGTGGTTCTGACAGTTGTAAAGATCGATGTGTACCAGTAAAAATACTAATACTGGCAAAATATGTTTTATTGATAAAACAGTTCAATATACAACAAAAATATGCTTTCCGATTCTTCAATGATGGTTATAAATTAAATTGTTTTGTTCGATGAGTTGCTAGATAAGAAGCTGGTTATTTTAGTGGAATGAAATTAATGATTTATTCAAAAATTGAATACTTAGATTTCTATAATGATTCAGTAAAATAAGACTGCCATGTTTATCAGAACATCAGGATTCGTATTAACAAAAAGCAAAACTTAGAAGTAAAAGTAGGATTTTGAACTCCGTTACGGTAGGATTTATATCAGAAAATAGGATAAATGTAGAATGTGTGAAAAAAGGCTAGAAAACGTTTTCACTGTCCACTGCTTTGGTATAATGAGATCCATTAACTATAGTTTGTATATTTTTTTCATTTTCAGTGGATATATAAATTAAGAATCTTCGGTAAAGAGGTTGCACGCTTTTAATATTCTGGTGTAACTGACAACGTAAGCAAAAAAACATAAACAGCAGGAAATTATAACTACTCTTTTGATGTATGTAGTATACAAAACCAAAAAGTCTTCAAGAGACGATACTTTTGAAAATTAATCAGCGTTTTTTCTCACAAAACATGGTGTCCACTTCAGTACATTAATTCCACTTTTCTTTCGTATTCTTTTAGTTTTTTACAATTCTAGCATACGTTAATTCAGTAAAAGTTAGGGTATTATCAATATATTTCCTTCATATTCTGAATGTGAAAACATAATGAAGAGACAACGGACTCACATGTAGCATTTTCTGAAGAATATATTAGCATGTTTTGTTTTAATCCATAACGGATTTTTTGCTCGATATGATATGCTTGAATAGATTAATAAATGAAGAAGTTTTAAAAACTTGGATTTTAATATTTTGAATGTTATATAGAGGAATGTTGGAACTGAATGTAGTTTTGCAGAGACTTAAATTCTGCATCTTTTAATTATAAAAAAGTACATTCACAATAGATCACAATTTTTCTTTTCGAGGAGAGTAACATAAAGAGCTTAAAATATCAGAAAAGTAAACACTAGAAAGTCATACATAATGATGTTACTAATAAAATGAAAATTTATAGAAACCTTGAACAACCATATCTTTTCATGTAAAATTTACTAGGAAAAGGCAACAACCTGAAAAGTTAGGAAATGTAGGATAAAATTCCGAAGAACAAAGTAGGACGATTTTAGTAAAAAGTAGGATGTTTATGAAGCCTGGAGCATTTCTATTCGATTGATACGTGAAAAATTTTTTAGATCTTTTTACTAGGAAAATGTTTTAAAACTGATCCTGTTTAAAATTTTTGAAGAACAGGACGGTTTAGTCCGGTTTCAAAAAAGCACACACCGATCCCATATAATTGAAAATAACAAGCAAACATCATTCTTGAAGTCAAATTATGAAATGACTGATTTAACTAAAATCTGAATCTTCATTTAGTAGATCTTCTTATTGACTGCATGCAGATAACGCTGATGATGGGTCTAAAATAAAGAAACAAAATCATGAATCATATTGCAACAAAATAAATAGAAAAGTTTGAACGTAATTATGAGAAAAAAAAATCAACAATAAACTCGTTTATAGCAATTTTTTTTTCTTTCTAATTCATCCACCAAAAAATTTTCCTACAAATGTTACTAAAGCTGCAGATATAAAAGTTTAAAGTTGTTCAGAGACTTTCTTGTACAATCAATTGGTCTCAAAAGTTGTTCATATCACAATTTCATTTGCACAAAATGAAGCTATAGTCTAAACAAAATCTTTTTTTCTAAATTTTTATTAGATAAACAAGAAACACCTTGGGGAAATGTTACGGAACAAATACCTGTCAAAAACAACTATCTTTCTTGGTTCGAAAAACCTTGGACTATATATATATTTTTTTCTATAACAAAACGTACAATCAAAAGAATCCGTATTTAAGTAGAAGAATCCATGCAATAGATGATAAGTACATGCTATATTAAACAAAAGAGGAAACAATACACTCTTGTAAGATTATCACGCTAGACAGATGAGTAAAAAAATCGTCGAATTTCGATAAGAAAAAAATGTTTTACTATATTTTCAAATTTTTTATTTGGATTACAATTGTGTTCTTCAATTGGCCAGGTTAAAAACCATGTACTTTCAATTGTTCATCAGTAGCAATACCAATTTCTTTTAAGAATTGACTAACATGTATACGTTGATCGCCTAAAACAGATAAGACACACACACACACACACACGTCTTAGAATTTTAGCTGAGAAAATCGTTGAGAAGTTCTTTTATACCTTGTAATTGTATTACTTCTCCATATTCTTGATGTTCAACTACAGTACCATTACAAGCAAATTTCTTTTTGAATGCACGTAATAAACGTTTTTTATCAAATTCTTCACCAATACCTTGAACAGTTGTTAATGTTTTTTTACCACTACGTTGCTGAATACGAATATGTATTAAATTGGAACTCCGTTGGCCACCTAAACACGAGTATATCAAAAAGAAACAACAAATAGACATACTAAAATTACTTACCTGTGGCCCCAGAATTATCCAAATCACTCGCTCCTGTCACATCCGCAAATGGATCAGCAGATCGTAAATTAATTATATTTTGATCGGTCATACGATAATAAATTGAAACGTAAGATAAGGTCGATGCTTTTTTGCGTACGATCGAATTAAAAAACGAGAATGTTAGATATTATCTAAAACAAAATAAATCAGGCAGGATCTAAAATATAGTGCATAACGCATCTCCTTTTTGCTCATAAGATTCAAACTGCAAAGCTAAAACAAAAGCAAGAAATCAATGATTAAGAAACGGTTTCGTTCCTGATCAAGGAAATGTCTAATACTTTTTCGTAACAGTTTTATCTCTGTATAGTATATATTTCTCAAAAAAAATAATAATAAGGAAAGAATGGGAGAAGAAGATTTGACGGTTTTTATCCACAAACACGAAAACAGATGCGATTTTTTCCTGTTAATGACATATTTTCAGAGGACTTGCGGTTGTGAGAATGTAATTTGAAGGTAGAATCAGCAAACTGGAAAGCTGTTTCTCACTCGCCTAGCAAACGAGAAAGTTTACAATCTGAAAGAGTACTATGCGTCTACTAATAATATTATCATAAATTAGCCATATTGGATTGCATACAACGAATGGCCTAACACTACAGACTTTATGTATTTTTCTTTCTTTTCTTCGTCTGTTAGGGCTGTAGTTTATAAAACACTTTGATTTTTCATCTGAAGGGAGGAAAGATAATATCAAGATATTGTTTTATTTTCATAGACAAATGAAATGTTAACCTCTCAGCGAATAACAAATGTAGGTGCCCTAATTATTAGACAAAAAAATATCCTCGAGAACTTTTTTTGTAATGTTCAGCATATATAATTGTAGACCGCGTGAAGAAAACAACTTAAGTACCATGTGCATATTAATTAGAGACATATATTTGCATGATGAATAAAAGAAAAAAAATCGATATTTCGTATTGCAGCGTTTATTAAATTAGACGATTTCGTTTCAAATTTTACCTCAGCTAAAGGCAGAAGAATAACTTTGTCTCATAAAGGCAACAACAGAAATGGGGAATTAAACTAAAAAAAATAAATACACTTGAAAATAAAACACTTGATAGACGAGGAGAAAACACACACTTAGGGAATACATATTGTTTGTAAAAAAAATTGATGGTATGTCTGAATCCGCGCGGATAGCCATCAAGAATAGGATAGGTTTACACAAAACGTGTGGAAAACTTGTTACATAAACAACAAAAAGACCGATACAAAATATAATTCTAACAGCGAGAAATACATCGGAAAAGTCAAATTTTATATACACATGTAAACGGGTGAAAAAAGGAGATAAAATATTCATGTGTACTTTGCAAGACTTTTATTTAACCATTTCAAAAAAATTGCATATGACTAAGCTCCAAAATAAATCTTTCAATAAAAAAATCTGTTTTGATATACGACCGGATGGTGGTGGGTGAACATGATTAACACATATTAATAGGAATGTAGAAGAGAACCGGATCCAAACTTAGACCGACTATTTTGTCATGAAAGAAAATTTACTAAAAGTCAATCCTATTTGATTTTAAATAGAACTTTTTTTATATTGCACTACTAAAAAATAACTTTAAAAGAAAGAAAACAGAGAGTATCATAAATAAATGCTTTTAGACACACACCGAAAAAATTCAATGCATTTTTATTATGTATGTCGAGGATAAAATTCTTGAATAACATCATGTGGAATGCGTTTTAACATTTCTTTAGGGAATGTACGTAATAATTGCCAACCAATATCTAAACTATCAAATATCGTACGATTTTCATACGCACCTAATCAAAAGAAAATGATAAATTACACATAAAAAGCGATTTCCTTTCTTAATTTACCTTGTGAAATGAAGTTCTTTTCGAATTTTGTTAAAAACTCGAGATAAAGTAAATCGTCGGATGATAAGGCTTCTTCACCAACAACAGCTTTCATAGCTGCAACATCTTTTCCAATAGCATAGTTAGCATACTTCAAAGAAAAACATCCAGAGTGGAATAATTCCGCACATGTTTCTGATATTTATGCAACTGATGAGTACAGAATAACCGTATTTAACACATCTTGTCATTTTTCTTCATTTCTGTCCTTACCAATTGATTCGAAACATCAGCATGATCCTTTCTTGTCATTCCTTCACCAATAGCTGACTTCATTAAACGAGATAGAGATGGGAGAACATTAATCGGAGGATAAATCTAGATAAATGGTAAAATTAAGAAACAAAAAACTGATAATCATAACTTCTTCTTACTTGACGATTGTGTAACTGTCTGTCAACATAAATTTGTCCTTCTGTAATGTAGCCAGTCAAATCGGGTATGGGATGTGTAATGTCTGTAATTAATTAGAAGAAGTAGTCCAACCGAAGTGTCAATTATAAAGTGAGCTATACCATCGTTTGGCATGGATAAAATAGGAATTTGGGTAATCGAGCCATGGCGTCCAGCTACACGACCAGCACGTTCATATATTGTTGCCAAATCTGTATACATATAACCGGGAAAACCTCGACGACCTGGCACTTCTTCACGGGCAGCTGAGACCTACACATGAAAGCCAGTGTAATTCAGAGCCATGAGTGTTCCAATTTCGTGTCATACCTCACGTAAGGCTTCAGCATAAGAACTCATATCAGTTAAAATAACTAAAACATGTTTATCACACTGATAAGCAAGAAATTCAGCTGTTGTTAATGCAATACGTGGTGTAATAATACGTTCAATTCTGTAAAAAAGTAATCTTACAATAAGAGTAAAAATACAATAACAAAAACATTGATCTTACGTTGGATCATTGGCTAAATTCAGAAATAAGCAAACATTTTCCATAGAGCCATTTTCTTCAAAATCTTGTTTAAAAAAACGTGCTGTTTCCATGTTCACCTAAAACAAAATAGTTTCTCAAAAATAGATCAACAATATTGTACAAAACAAACTTACACCCATAGCAGCAAACACAATTGCAAAATTGTCGTCATTATCCACTACACTTTTGGAATGTCTAACAAGACCAGCTTGACGACAAATTTGTGCTGCGATCTAACGTTAAACTTTAAAATTGAGTACAAAAGTAAAAAGAAAAGCATAAAATAGACGTACATCATTATGGGGCAAACCGGCAGCAGAAAATATTGGAATTTTTTGACCTCGAGCTATGCTATTCATGACATCAATAGCTGATATCCCTGTCTGTATCATTTCTTCTGGATATTCACGAGAAAACGGATTAATTGGTTCACCTATTGAGATAAAACAAACGAAAACTTGATAGTACCATCTATGGAGTCATGACTGAACTTTACTTTAACCCAAACATAAATCAACATACCATTAATATCCAAATAATCTTCAGCTAAAACGGCTGGTCCTTTGTCAATTGGTTTACCAGATCCATTGAATATCCGTCCAAGCATATCTTCTGACACAGGCGTACGTAATATATCACCAGTAAACTCGACCGTTGTATATTTAGCATCAATACCAGCTGTGCCTTCAAACACCTTAAATTATAAAAGAACTAACAAATGAGATTAATATGTTAGCATCAAACTTACTTGAACAACAGCTTTCGAGCCAGATACTTCTAATATTTGTCCACTACGAAGCGTTCCATCAGGCAGTGTTAAATTGACTATTTCAGCAAATTTTGGAAATTTAACGTTGTCTAATATCACTAGAGGGCCGTTGACGCCAACAACAGTTTTGTAAGCTTAAAAACAGAACAGATCGACCATTGTCAAAGTGTTGCCAACATTATAAATTGCTTACTCAAACGTGGTTGTTTAATATAATCGCGTGTAACAGCTGCGCGATGAATAAGATTTGAATCATTAATTTTGACGTTAACATTAGGTTTTTTGTCTTTGTCAGTATCAGCAGTCATTGTTGTTGTTCTAGAAAGTAAATGAATCAACTTTAGAGAATTTTCCTAATAGCTAGTAGGAGCATCAAAACTGAACAAAAAAAAGAGCGAAAGCGTATTTTCCCACCTTTTGGGATGTACAGGAGTCGAGCCAGTATGAGTACGCGTAGGTTTCATTATTTGTTTTTTAGAGCGAATATAACATATTGTGATGGGTTAGAATTAACAGAAAAACGATAATGATTTGTAATCACTTCCGTATAGCAATCTAAATTTCAACTAGTCTACAGCACAGCAATTAATAATAAGTAGCTCCCATAATGCGATACTACTCTGTTAAAATACCTTGAGTGTTATCAATGGAAAATAAACAGCAATTTTGTTACAATTAACAAGTAGAAATATAAAATATATTACATAGGATATAGGATATTTGACTGAAGGGTGATGACGATGGTATATGTGGAATTATAAATGTGGCCATGAAGGGAAACCAATTCGCCTCTTTAAGAACAATTGATTAGTGTTTTGAAATGTGGTGCTACTGTCGAGCAGAACTTTCAACACTTTAGAAGAAGTGGTGCTAACAACACTAAGAGAGATCGGTTGTTGGAGATTTTACAAAACTGGAGCAATGCAATCTCGTTCTAACTATTCCGCCCTTATACTTTCAACTAATCACAGAAAAATAAATGAGGTCGCTCAGGTCGCTGGTAGTGATTGCTAAAGTGTTTATTACTGTTCTCGTCCACAATAAAGAAGTTGACTTTTCTTACAATGATACGCAAGTAGTTTTTATCAAAGACGTTATTCATTAACAACAAAAAGTTTGATAAAAAATGGATCTAGTAATTGTTTCAGAAGTTGAAAATCAATACCTCGGGTTTCTAGTAGAAATGTTTGCTTTCTCTGATGGTTTTTCTAACTTTTGGCTGGTCTAGTATTGAGCATGCCCTTATTTTGTTAAAGTGATGGTCGAGGCTGAGGTTAGCAGATCTGGTGATAGAAAATCACTTATGTAACAATAACAAAATCTTATACATATGATATGATTTTTCACTGTCTTTCGCAAAATGGATCTCCTTTAGTAGAATTTCTTGCATCCAAGATCTTGGAAAAACAACCAAAAAATTTGGATTTTGGGTTCTTGAATCTGTCACATGAGGTCTTGAGTGAATACTTTTTTTTATATTTTGCTTTCATGTATGACAGTCATAGCCATCAGGTGTACATTCATTCATAACCATAGACTCTTCTTTCAATAGTTATGTTAAAGAAGGAAAAAATTCGAAGTTATATTATGTATGAAAATGTTCGCACTTATGTACAAATAAGAGCGTAAATCAAAATAGTGATTCAAGAATTTCTGCGATCTTGGATACAAGACTCACCCATCTAAGGTCTTAATCAAGATCTTGGTGCATGGACTGAAGAAATCTCTAGAAGTTCAAGATCTTTAACTTCTTGCATTATCTTATCAAGAAATCAAAATCATGATTCATAAAGTTTCTCTAGGATATATACCTTTACTGTGATCTTCGTGGTCAAGTCGAAAACTTGTTCAATTCACACAATTCTCAAGCGACACGTAACTGGAGAGAGAAGCGCAAATTATGTTCGGGTCCACTTATAACTGAAAAAGATTGAACATGATGGATTTTTGCTTTCGGTCACTCTTTTCTCCTTTTACGGAGTCCTTATCTTCCTTATTTTTCTTTAGTTCCTTATTGTCTCAACAGTTAGTTCATTCGTTGTATTTGAAATTTTCAAATATAGTGAATGAACTAAATGAAGTAACTGCAATAGATACATCGAATAATTTCGAATTATTTTGGCTATCTGTTGCAGTTCTCAGTTTGGTTGTTTTTGCATTCTCTAGAAGAGATTCTGACCGATGACATGGACAGAGAGTTTTATTACAACAGTTTGGCTATAATTGAATCTAATTAATGCATAAAAGGACGAAAACAACAATCTCGAGTATGGTTGATTGTGTCTTAATTAACTTAATGAGTTTAACAGATAATGAGCTCAAAATCACATGGTGAGAGAGAAAGATTTCGGCTATTAAATGAGATATGTTTGAGCTAATAATCTGTAAAACTCAATTAACAGGAATGTGTTAATCAAAACTCTATGTATTTGAATGGAATGTGTCTTTTCCCCACATGGTACTCTATATTATAAAACCTTCTATTCTTTACTTTGAATGTAGTCGCATGACGATTAAAGGACATTTTATTCTAGACACAGTACTAGAAACTAGTCAACATTCTATGTTTTTTTATAGTTAGAACGAAGATTTTGAAGTTGATGTGGCTAGTCAAAATATGAGTTAGAGATTGGTGTATTTTCTATGTCGAACTTTTTACAGCTTTTTGTCAGTAAATTAACACCAATAACAGACAGTTCTATGTACCTTTTTTTATTACTATAAATAATTATTATTCTAGTACCACTGTTATTGCCTCTCTGTCGTTATACAAATCAAAGCTGTGTTTAACAACAAACTTATTTTAGATTTTATTTTGATCATAAAAAAAATAAGTATCTTCGCATCCTGTATAAGTATATAAAATGCAATTCAAAATGTTCTATGCTCTTTTTTTTATAGTGTCTTCACAAATAGTTTTTTCGTCCTCTGAGCTGATGACAGCCCAACATTGAAAGGCTTGTTCAAATTGAAATATGTACAGAGACACACAAATGTATATAGATGTGAGGAGAGAAAAGGATTTTCATATTTGTGTTAACTGACACTTAAGTAGCTGGTGTACATAGAACCGATGAAGAATTTGATATTTGTTTTTTAAATCTATAAATATACACGTATATACACATAGGTGTATACAAAAGAAGATCATATTGACTGACATCTTCTCTCTTTCTCCCTCTCTGTGTTTTTCTTTTTTTTGTTGACAAAATCAACTTTAACCACGTACTTAACCAAAGTTCATTGCACCATGAAAAAAATAAAATGAAAATTTACAGAAACAGGAATAGACCCACAATTTTGTTTCTTCTTTTACTTTTTCTCTCCCTCCTTACTGCCTATAATTTGATTTTTTTCAAGGGAATGTCAGTCTTTTGATATCATTGTATAGGATATACACTGTAAGCACAAAGAAGGTGACAAAAAAACCTTGATTATATATTTTTTTGTTGTTTATTATCAAAATGATAAAATTTAAATGTAATTGTCGTCACCCACTTCTTGTTAGCTACTCACAGATTTGTTTTAAATTTTTTTAAAATACAATATAGACTTATCATTCTACTTCTCCAATTTTTGGTCTTTGATGTAAAAAAGACTATTTTTTCTTATTTTCCTATCTTATGTTACTCTATTTTCTATTCTCTCAACTGCTCTTTGGTTGATCTTATATGGGAGTAGGAACTTCGATGTGCAGAAGAGGTTCATCGACAAAAAAACATGTGTCAAATTCAAAAAATATTAGTTCATCAAGTAGAAAAGCTCAATGTTTGGCAATTAGTCGTGAACCAACAAATCCAACATTAAGAACGCATCAATCGCGACACACACCACAACGTCATCAGTTTACAACGTTACCTCCACCTGTGCACATACCACATTTATCTCAAATACCAACACAACAGCAAACATATCGAATAGCAGAACCTCTTCCGAAATCATCTCTTGTCACTCCTGATAGAAGCGGTCATATTAACTATAATTACATTCCTGATACTCGCGTAAAAGTAAATACAAGTACATCGGATATTGTCTCTTTATCATCATCTGATATTTTACACCATATACCATGTAGTGAACATGTTCATGACAATCGACGCCAGCAGCAAGAGGAAAAATACTCTTACAATGAGCATGAACGGTCACGATTAATGAAAAGATCAGCATCTGTTCCAATCGATATGTTTTTGATTGATATATCCCATGAACATGCTATGATTAATCAACCAATTACATTGAATATTAGACATTTATTACTCGACACAATAGAAAACCGTCGGACAAATTCGTCTTCATCATCACTATTAATAGAACCATCGTCAATTACAACCTATGCTCATGATAATTTACTCAACTATATTCCGTATGTATGTGAACGTTATCCAAATGTAACAGTTTCACCAAATCAACCTACGCGTAACACTTTACACGTCAGAGTACCGTCACAATTTTCAAAATCACTAAATGAGATAGCATAATAGTATTATCAGTATTTTCGCATATTCGTCATTTGATCCAAGAAAATTTTTGAAATATTGCCGTTTAGTCAATATTGTGATTATATTTTGTCGTTCGAAGTCTAAACCTGAATAGTCAAATATCAACATTTTACATTGTGTACTCAGAAATAAACGCATTTTTTTCTAAAAAATTTTTCTCTATTTATAGTTATTGAATCGTTATCGTTGTTTATTATATTTGGAAAGATCACTTTTGTCACGCTTATCTTAATAAAGAACTTTTACATTAATATTAGTTTTTACGTACAGTTATCGTGTTTTTTTCATATTTATTGCTTGATTTTAATTTTGCTAGAACTGATTTTAGAACAAATAAATATACTTCTTAATATATATATAGGTATAGACAATGTGTGACTAAAAAACTACAAAAATAACTGTTAACGCTGCCGGTAATAATCTTATCATTAAATAATATATAAGTATCATTATGATGTCTTGCTAGAGAAGTCTCTAACAAGTCATTAAAAAACCTTAAACTGTTTGTTACAGAGCATCATTTATGCTCATTTTAGACATTTGAATAAAATCGACTAATTTTATGAATATGCTATATTTTATACCACTTCGGTATATACAAACCTGTAATCATTAAATATACGAAAAAAAATTTCTCTAAAACTTTATCAGAATTACCTAAAATCTGATTTTCTTGAGTTTGCAGTCTAATCTAGGGAATTAGTGATTTAAAAGAGCACTATTTTCTACATGGATTTCATCAATTATTTCTCACCGTTGGTATAATCTGACTTTAGGAGTAAGTTTTTAATTACTAAAATGCTAACTAATTTTCATTGCTTTTCCAAAACTATCCCTTTTTTTCTGATTAATACTCACTGTTTTAAAAAATTTCAGTGTACAGATCTTCTGAGCTACAATTCTAGACTATTGCTGCCGTAAACAATGCAAATAGACGAAGAAATGTAGCTTTTTCTGATACACAATACGAACATAAAAAAGTGAGTAATATGACTTGAAGAGACGCCTATAAATCAGCAAGAAAACATTTTTAAAAGAAAAAAAAATGTGAAAAGTTTTTTATTGCGTTACTCTATTAATATAAAAAGAATTGACCAAAAGCAAAATTTCACTTGCTTCGTGGCCACGGACAATTTTGATTGATTCTTACGCAGATTCGCTCTTAAAAGATATCGAGAACAATTGTTAGAAATGTTCGAACATCTACAGTTGAATGCAAGATTTATTCTTCAATTTGAGTTTCATCAACAATGTTTTTTATTATGAAAATCTTGATATTCAAGTACGGTGAAATAATTGTGGACAATCTATTTTATTTCTACAATACTTTGAAAGTGACATTTCTCTATCCACTAATGTAAAAATTTTGTTCAAATTCATTAATATTAATTAGTACTCATCAATTTTCAGAGAGCTCCTATAAAATGTCTATCATTTCCCCTTTTGGGGTAATTATCGATAGTCCAGCAAAAATGACTGGAAGAAAGCTTTTTTAATGACAAAGTTTCATCTTTCTAACTGATAATTATACGATCTTGCCGAGAATTTTAGACTCTATTTACCTCGTAAACTGGTAGTCATTCGGGCATATCTTTGTGTAATTAATTCGAAATTACGAAAATAAAAGGAGGCAGCAATTTATTTGATGTTTCTTGTTTGGAGTAATTCTGAACATTTCGTGCACATTACACGGGACAGGCAAAGAACAACTTCCGTCGTCTTTTAGAAGTCGATTTTGATACCATACCAAACGGAAAGTTGTTCAGTACCATGAGCGCTACTATATCTGTAAAAAAACGGATGATAAAAGTATATTTTCACCCTTTTCTGTGCATAATATGAGTAGTGTTGTTTTTGAACATATTTTTATCGACTAAAATTAAAAGAAAACCTAAATTAGAACCTTAATTAGTTCAACTTTTCGTATACATTGTACAATTCTCTTCATGGTAAATCAAATATTTTTTTAAAAACAACTCATTTTACATTAGCTACTTTACTTGGAATCGAAATAATCTTCAAAGTCATGATGTTAGAATAGAAGACTTATCAACCCAACAATCAGTCGAATCTTTATCAATGTATGATCAAAGATGAACTAGAAGTAGAATGGTAAAAATGAATAGAACAATATGAATAAACATCATTGATATTCAAGAAAACACTGTAATATCAACAAAAGAAATTCTGCACTAATACACCATTAGTTATATAGCGGTATAATTGTGACTATTGAACATTTACCGTTGAATAATTGATCTTGGATGAGTTGGTTTCAAAAAACAACAACATTTGATTTAGCATGAAGAGAATGGTACAATGTATACAAAAAGTTGAACTTTTTCATAAGTTAATTACTAATTAAGATTCTAGTTTAGTTTTTGTTTTAATTTTAATCGATAAAAATATGTTCAAAAACAACACTATTGATATAATATACAAGAAACGGTGAAAATATACTTTTCTTTTTTGTTGTTGTATTCATGAGCGAATAAGTTAGCTCAATGACAAGATATATCTTATCTTCTTAGCAGCAACTATCACAATTGATGTTCATTTAGTCGAACTTAATAATTTAAATTAATGTAGAAGTTTAGAATATATAATAGAGTGATCGATAATCCAAATTTAATATTTTAAATCATCAGATACACATTATTTCTTTTATAAATAATATATTCCTACAATTATATTCCTACAATAATATATTCCTACAAATATATTTCTTTTATAACTAATATATTCCAACAATTTTAAAATAAGATTTAATTGTACGGTTTATAGTTTTTCACCGAAATTATCCATAGTAATTGTATTTGCAATCGACTACTTGGTTACTTATGATTGCTTAATTTCTATGAGTACTTGACAAACAGTTAATAAATGTTACTCAAATTTGGCAAGTATTTTTGTAAAATGGCATTTTGTAATTTCTTCTTCAAGTATGTGAAAATAGTTGCCCGATATTTGATTTACTTGTTTGGATCTCTCACAGGTACTTGAGCAAGTACTTGGTTAAGTATTTGACAAGAAGATAAAGTTATTTAAGTACTTAACATTCTTGGTAAGGACTTGATTTACTTGCAGAAATCTCGAGAATGTTGGAGAAAATATGTGAGAATGGCTGAACAAATGCTCGTATAAAAATATATACACTAAAGTGGTGGTTAAATCGAATATGGCCTTGATCTTATAATGAATATTTTATTATTCAGCTTGTTTTTTGTGCGAAACATTTATGCGTAAAAAGCCGTTGATGCAAAACAATGCTGCAATTTTATTTGCTGGTTAGTATGATTTTTTAAATCTACTGGCAATTATTATCATATTGACATATAGTCTAGTTTAATTACTAATAGTATTATTGTTGTTAAGTCATATTCATTTTTTTTTTTTCTATATAATATGGAGGTGTGCCTTACTATGTGAGCCAAACCTAATGACAGTAATAAAGGGTACAGGTATATCTATTTTATATATTGCCATACAAATTAGGTTGTAACAAGAGTTGTGCTAAACGTATACTGAATCTAAGACTTCACATGATGTGTCCCGAGTATCTCAGACAGTAATAATAAACTTGAGTAGAGTGTATAGACGATTTTTTTATTTCATTATTCCTTACCATAAATGAACAACTATTTTATAAATATTTCGGTTTAATATTTATTAAAAGTTTAAAATAGTATTGAATTTTTCATTGATTGTAGTATTATTTATTCAAATTAGCAATGAAAATACCAATATCAATTCATGGTTTTCGTGAAAAGTTTCTTATATCGTGCAAAAATAATAATGAAACAATACGATGGTTATGTGAAACAGCAATCTATAGGTTCAATATTATTTACGTTATTAAAATTTTATTTATATCATTGCTTTTTTTATTCATTAGATATTTGAACACATTTTCTAATAACGCTGGACTCAAATTCTCGAATACAATTATTGTACGACGAGCATCTGATCATAGCATCTTATCATTAGAAGACTATGTAAAAGATGTACTTCAAGATAATGATGCGGTTTTAATTGGTAAGAATATATCATAACATTATAAACATCTTTTTAAATAATATTTGACTCTTTCTTAGACATAGTACACGATATGTACGATGATAATAGAACAAGCATCCTAGTGTGAGTATTCAGATTATATAACACAGCACATTTTACTTAACTAATTATATTTATTGTTAGTGATGAAGAAAATCACGTAAGTCTACTTTGAATAAACATATACCAGAATGGATGAATCAATTGTGCAATTGTAGCTCATTGCTTTGGATGGTCGACATTTGAAATGCAGTGATCTTATCTGTTTAAGTACAGGCAAATACAGCATATGGGTATGATGCATCTCTGGAATTTCAAAGGTGAAAATATAAAATTAAATATTTATTTTGGATAGCTACCACCAGAAATATGGAACGTTATTGAGAAAGCTCGTGCGATGGTTGACCATATTGTTGCTAACAAACAAAGTAAAAGCACATAGATCGGATTTATTTTATCTCTTAACCCAAGCGTCAAAAAAAAATCTAGTATCGCCCGATTCATCTAGATTATTAGATTTTTACTCGCTTGCAACTAGTGTGTAACGACAGTGGAAATCTAGTAACTGGGCGATTATTAGATTTTTTCTAGTTGCAACTATCG